CTTATTGATTTTATAAATCAGTTTCTTCAGGTATACTCAAACATGATTCACTATCTAAGACATAATTTTCTTAAATTATCTTGGGTCGGTGCCATCTCCACTTGTTGTCAAATATCCTCTTCTCATATGTGTATTATGGATAAAACAGCTTGTATAATAACCGGCCTGCAGAACTTTCCTTCTAACTTCCAATATATCGACTTATCACATAAATCCCTGCAGCATTCTCCATTTTGACCAATCTGCTCTAATATTTAAAAAATGGGGCAACATGATCTATTATTTTGAGTATTGCGTCTTTCTTACCTACTACGACTAAAAGGGTTTCCATTTATTTCTTTTAGTATATTTGACCTAAAATCTTTAGATTTCGAAGTATTTCTATTAAATTCCAAATTGTGATTTATTTCCCTCGAGTCTAATTAGTTGAAACTTTATTACTAATGTATAGCATACAGCTAAGGACTTCATCTTGGATATGTGTTGTCCATAAGTAAAGTCTTTCCATAAGGATCTAGAGCAGGAAAACTAATACCATATTATTCTACAAGGAAATTCCCTAGTAGTCCTCCCTGCTTGATTTCACCTTTGTGATTGCCCTCTACCTTGCACTTCCCTAAAAATCATATCAGATGGTTTCTCTAACTCAATGAAACCATGTGCAATTCCTTTTCCTTTTATCCATATTTATCCTGCACAAGTGGCTTTCATAACAGATGTACCTAGCATAAACCAAACTAATTCTTTAATTTATAAGTTACATCTTAATTCATGCTAGATCATCCTCTATTTTGAATCCACTGTATAAAAATATTTCAACTTGCAAGTAGTCCTTGCTAACCCTCTATATATATGGTATGCTTGTTTCTGTATGCATTGTTAATTTATTGACTGTAAGACCAAGACAGGGGAAACATTGTTCTGTCTTTCTTTTGCACCTTTTACCAAAATAATGTTAATTCAAATAGCACCCCCTAAAATATGATGGATTCTAAGTATTGGTTAAAACTATTGCAGTCTTGCCACTGAAATGTGAGTTATACTATACATGCTCTTAAAATCCACCACTTTAAAGTCAGTTTAGAGAATGAATGGATAAAGGCACTATTAAGAACTGCAACTTAGGCTAATTACACTGCTCTATCCTTCCGTTCTCACCTCTCTCTATCTCTGTCTTCTCTTTCTCTTTGCCTTCCCCCTCTGTATCCATCGCTACCCCAACCTCAGTTTCTTTTTTCTTTTTCTTGCACTGTCCCTTCACATTGGATGATATAAATTTTTTAAGTATAATCTTTGTGGTTTAAATGTCCCTGATAAAGTAGTGGGAAGAGGGAGCCACACCTAGTAAGTATGGGTTTAGGTTTGGCCCCCATTTCTTGGAAATGAAAATGGGTGAAATAGTGTTTTTTTTGAAAAATGAATGATTGAAAAAGAAGGAAAAATTTTCGATTTACATGTAATATTATTTTATGGAAGATTGTATGGTTGAAAATAAACGAGAGAAAAATGGAATGTAGTTTAATAAGTATCAAATGGGGGCTTAGGTGATATGAGTTCAGAAGTCTCATTGTTTTAATGGCTCAAAGTTGCAGCTTTTAGTAGCAAGCCTGGTTATAGCTGCTTTTGAAAACAGTACTGCGGTCTTTTTATTAAACACTTCTCTACCGTATTTTTCTGATTGTAACTTTAGTTAATAATATATTGTTAAATAGCTTCTTTGGACAGAGCTTCATCTTTTTGGTTGTCTTTTGAATTAGCTGTTTAAAATATCGTTTCTTTAATTGTAATACAATGATGACAAACTATGCCTTATATCCAATAATTTAAGGTTGACTACACTACTCCCTTTTTATTGTCCCTTCCCGTTTAGGTCTATCCCTTTAGAAAGGTCTGAGAAATCTAGTCTTAGCTACTACCCTTACTAATGATAATTTCTGTTCTCCCTCCTTTTTTAGCATGTGCTTATTGATTTTATAAATCAGTTTCTTCAGGTATACTCAAACATGATTCACTATCTAAGACATAATTTTCTTAAATTATCTTGGGTCGGTGCCATCTCCACTTGTTGTCAAATATCCTCTTCTCATATGTGTATTATGGATAAAACAGCTTGTATAATAACTGGCCTGCAGAACTTTCCTTCTAACTTCCAATATATCGACTTATCACATAAATCCCTGCAGCATTCTCCATTTTGACCAATCTGCTCTAATATTTAAAAAATGGGGCAACATGATCTATTATTTTGAGTATTGCGTCTTTCTTACCTACTACGACTAAAAGGGTTTCCATTTATTTCTTTTAGTATATTTGACCTAAAATCTTTAGATTTCGAAGTATTTCTATTAAATTCCAAATTGTGATTTATTTCCCTCGAGTCTAATTAGTTGAAACTTTATTACTAATGTATAGCATACAGCTAAGGACTTCATCTTGGATATGTGTTGTCCATAAGTAAAGTCTTTCCATAAGGATCTAGAGCAGGAAAACTAATACCATATTATTCTACAAGGAAATTCCCTAGTAGTCCTCCCTGCTTGATTTCACCTTTGTGATTGCCCTCTACCTTGCACTTCCCTAAAAATCATATCAGATGGTTTCTCTAACTCAATGAAACCATGTGCAATTCCTTTTCCTTTTATCCATATTTATCCTGCACAAGTGGCTTTCATAACAGATGTACCTAGCATAAACCAAACTAATTCTTTAATTTATAAGTTACATCTTAATTCATGCTAGATCATCCTCTATTTTGAATCCACTGTATAAAAATATTTCAACTTGCAAGTAGTCCTTGCTAACCCTCTATATATATGGTATGCTTGTTTCTGTATGCATTGTTAATTTATTGACTGTAAGACCAAGACAGGGGAAACATTGTTCTGTCTTTCTTTTGCGCCTGGGGTTGAGTTTCTTTCGTGTCTTGATAAATTGTATAATTTTTTACTTTATTGATCATTTGGTATTCTTTTTCTAACTTGAAAGAAATGGCTGGCTCATGCTGAAGTTTTGAACTATTAAATCATTACCCCCCTACAGTTCTATGTTCTTTAAGCTCGGTAAACTAACCATGCCCCTTTTTACTTGTTTGCTTCAGGTGACATTCATGGGCAATATAGCGATCTGTTAAGGCTTTTTGAGTATGGGGGTTTTCCTCCTAAGTCCAATTACCTATTCTTAGGTGACTATGTAGATCGAGGAAGGCAGAGTTTAGAAACAATATGCTTGTTACTTGCGTATAAAATCAAATATCCAGAGAACTTTTTCCTTCTTAGAGGAAACCATGAATGTGCTTCTATTAATAGGATTTACGGATTTTATGATGAATGTAAACGCCGGTTCAATGTGAAATTGTGGAAAGCCTTCACTGATTGCTTTAACTGCCTTCCTGTTGCGGCACTCATAGATGACAAGATATTGTGCATGCATGGGGGACTCTCGCCAGACCTCACGAACCTTGATCAAATTAGAAACTTACCTCGCCCAACTGCTATCCCAGATACTGGTTTGCTTTGTGATTTACTCTGGTCGGACCCTGGTAAGGATGTTAAAGGATGGGGAATGAATGATAGAGGAGTTTCATTTACCTTTGGCCCTGATAAAGTCTCGGAATTCTTGGCTAAGCATGATTTGGACCTTGTCTGTCGTGCTCACCAGGTAAATAATCCTTCTATTCCATCCTTCTTATAGTTCACACAATTCGCCTGATTACTTTTCGTGTTTCAGGTTGTGGAGGATGGTTATGAATTCTTTGCTGACAGGCAGCTGGTCACCATTTTTTCAGCCCCCAACTACTGTGGTGAATTCGACAATGCTGGTGCAATGATGAGCATTGATGAAAACTTAATGTGTTCTTTTCAGATTCTGAAGCCAGTAGAAAGAAAAAACAAGTTCATGATGTCCACAAAAATGTGATTGGTGCGTTACTTAATGATTTCAAGGTCCTCTCAAAATAATTTTCTAGTTACACAAATTATGTTTGTTTCCGTGATGCTTCCTCCTGGCTTTGCATTGACATTTACATGGTTTATTTGAGTTCTCCTTTTTTTTTTTTGATAAGTAATCAAATATTTTTTTAATCACGGATAATACACCAATTTATATAAGAGAGACGACATAAAGTTGGGCAACCCGTCTATGCGAATAATAGCCGCAGCATTAAACCAACTATACAAGGTCAGATAAAATGATTTTTTGATATGCTCTGTAGTCTTTGAATGATCGTCAAAATATCGGTTGTTTTTCTCCCTCCACACACACCAAACGGTGCACCTTGGAATGAGGTCCCACACAAGCTTGTTATCTTTATGATGAAATTTTCTCCTCCATGCTTTCAATACGTCCTCCACTGCGGGAAAATCCAAACCATATTTTGAGAAGAACGTCACACAAACTTGTAATTCCATATTAAGAATATATCATATCTAGTCCCTAACCTTTTTTGTTAGCATAGTTGGTCCTTTTTGAGAGAAATCGTCAATTTTGTCATGAAAGAATGACTTGGCAATCACATGCCAATTTATGTGTGGGGCAAAAAGGTCTCAACACTATTCCTTATTTTAAGTTAAATTAATAAAATGCCTCATCTCCGAACGGCGAACAGGAAGTGTGTTATCAATTTATACAAGAGAGAAACGACATAAAGTTGGGCAACCGGTCCATACGAGTAATAACCGTAGCATTAAATCAATTATACAAAGTCAGATAAAATGATTCTTTGATATGCTCTATAGTCCTTGAATGATCGTCAAAACAGCGGTTGTTTCTCTCCCTCCACACACACCAGATGGTGCACCCTGGAATTAGATCCTACACAAACTTGCTATCCTTATGATGAAATTATCTGCTCCATGCTTTCAGTACGTCCTTCATACATCTCGGGAAAACCCAAATCAGATGTTGAAAAGCTAGAATATCGATCCGCAGGGAACGAGCAACGTCACACAAACTTGTAATTCCATATTGAGAATATATCATATCTAGTCCCCAACCTCTTTTGTTAGCATAGTTGGTCCTTTTCGAGAGAAATCGTCAATTTTGTCATGAAAAAATGACTTGGCAATCACATGCCAATTTATGTATGGGACAAAAAGTTAACACACCCAGCTCATCCATGACCTCTATTTCCAAATTTTAGATCTGCAAGGAAAAGCTCTCCATAGCATCAAATCTTTGAACAAATTCAGGGCATTGTAACATCATGAATGGAAAAGTCTAATTCTACTGTAATTATTATTGAATTGGGTGTTAGCACTTCTATCCATCTTGAGCAAACATAGACCTGTATGCTATTCAAGGAGTTGAAATTCAACCAAAATGAATATCAACTTGATGTAGAAACCCAAACACCTCATTGCCATGAACCCATCGCTGTCTGATTCACCACCTTCATGAATTCTATTTGATCAGCCTTGTGGCAATGCTTGATGAGACGAACACTATTCTTTGCGTGATGTATGGGACTGGAATAGGGTTGGGTCAGGGTGGGATTCCAAAGATGAATTGTCATTTTTTTCCTTTTAAATTCACTTCATTTTATTTTTACTTACATATTTAATAAGAATGATATCAGTGGTATGACCATTTTCCCCTCTCAAAATATGGTGCACATGCATTCTACTTGATGGTTTAACCCCCAGTTTGATAGAAAATGTTAGAATGAACTACTTACCCCCACAGTGCTAAAAGGTTGGGGACGTACAAGTCCGATTTTGCAGGTGGGACCATATGTGCAATTTTTACTTCCATTCCTGCTGGATTCTTGTGTGGTTTATACCTTACTTAAACTACTGTGTTAATTCTTATCTAAGCCATAAATTGTGAAAATTTGGTGAAAGTGATGTACTACCCATCACATGGTTAGAGAGAACAAACAATTGGAAGCCTAGAGTCAAAAGACTTTTTAGTCAAAAGGTAAGTGTCCATGAGATTTATCGTCTTGGCAATTTTTAGATATGTAATTTTTCTGCTTTTTGTTGAATTGTGTCCAGTTTATTAGGATATTTTGAATTCTATGTCTGCTGAAATGTGCTCACAATTTTATCATATGGGTCTCATTTGCGATGTTTTGACATCCTGATTGTTTTTCGTGTCATTAGGTCAACTTTTCATCTGCTTTTCAATACGTTTTGCATATTATCCCAAAATGTTTTGGTAATGTTTCCTGTTCAGATCAGGAATGGTTCAAATTGAGATGACTGGCTATTGGAGAGTAAATGAGTAGACTTATGGATGAAAATTTTCACTTTTTGGTTACATATAGGTTTGTTATCTAGGAAAGAACCCTGTCATCTTGTTTCTTGCCATCACTTCTCCCTTTTGTTAGATTTTCACTTCTCTCCACTGTTTTATATGCTTCTTGTTCTACACCATTTTCTCTTGTAAGTTCTGCTGAAATATCTTCTTTCTATACTTTTTGCTGGTTCTGTACCATTTGCTCTTGTTATTCTTTTGAGAGAGTTTAATGGAAGCCATTGAACTTCACTTATTTTACTTCAAGGAGTAGCACCTTTTAGTGATACATGTTTGTGTGAACTGTATTTGTAAGCAGTTACATGTTTGGTATCATAATGACCCAATGGGCGAGTTGGAACTGAACAGGCATTTGGATACTAAGAGATGCCAGAGCTATCAAAACCTAAATCTATGGCAGATGGTGTATGGATTGGCAATCTCTGTACGAATTTTTTTGGAGAATATATATGCATGTATAAATAGATATAGCGGTGGGGGAATTGTAATTTTAAGTTGAGAAGGTGCCCCAGAATTTCCGTACAGGTTGTAGAAAGACTGGGTAGAAATGAACATGTCCCTGTTTCAAAAATTTATTGTGTTTCTGTTTATTAAATAACGTATACATGCATGAGGTTAAATTATCAAATATTTAGATGTGACTGAACATATAAAAATGTTCCCCTGAGGTCAATTTCACCGTCATTTGATTACTATAAAAAATAATGGTTTTGAGCTAGGCAGTAAAGTTCGTGTTTGTAATTATTCTGCCGTCAAAATGTTGGGAAAAGCATTAGTGCTTCGTTGCATTCTTGAACTTGGCCTGGGTTCAGTATTTTAAAACTGATAACTGAGACTCGCCCCATGGCTCACCTCGTGGCAAGCCAAAGGAGAAACACCCCAAGACAACATAGAAAAGATCGTCTCGTTCGGCATATGCACCTTTCACTAATTAGGCTTGCCCTAAGTGCCTTTTAATGTCACATTATTGAGGTACACATGTACTGTAACCCCTGTAAAGGAAACAAAAATAATTATTTCCCCAGGCTTTTTTTTGGTCGATGAATTGTTACTTGATCCTTTTTTTCCCCCTTTATTTTGTGATCTTACATCCCAAATTTGTTGCTTGTTCCACATTTTGTATTAATAGTGGATCTCATGTTTTGGGCTTTTCTTCTCTGTATCTTGTGCTCCAGTAGTATTTATGTTGATTGATTCTTTTTATTTTTCGATGCTCAGTGGTGTCAGTAGTGTCAGTAGTGATATTAGTTTTGCTAAATTTCAGTCATTTCCTTTTGTTTTTTCAAATAATCCATCAAATGCATATCGCTCCCTGCCTTAAAGCTTTTCTAAAACGCCTTAGCTCAGCTCTCACCATTTAAATCACTGCTTATGGCATATGGTTATGGATTTTGGTTTCTCCAGTTCTGGGCGTCGAAATAGAATTTAGCTCTGTTGCCATCTATAAATACTTTTTTTTTTTTTCCATATCATCTATATAAATATGAAATTTTATAGGTGTCTGTAGCTTGCAAATTGAGTTTCTGGGCATCACAGGATTTGTGCACTTACCCCATATTTCATTAAAACTTTTTGTTTGTCTGGGTGCAGGCACCATTCTCTATTTAGAAGGAATCACAGTTGCAGCTCCACCTGGGAATCCCTCTGACAAAGAAATAAGCACTCGGCTCGCCTTTACCTTATCTTAATGGATGTAGTATGATTAAGAATGACCTTTATTACTGGTAGTAGCATGAACTCTAAGCTGTAAACCTCGTTTTGTCCCTTTATAGAAAGGGTGTTCCATGTAGATATAATTTGTTTGGAAACTCAACCACCAAACATGGCCATTCTTACCATGGAATATTGGCATTTTTTGCCAGTTTATCAATGACTAAATTGTTTGCAAGTTTAAGTGTTTCTAACGGCTAGAAACTTGGGTTAAATTTGAGGTTGATGGTTGGTTTTATGTCTTTTGTTTTGGTTCCTAAAATTAAGAGTTTTGGCATTTTTTGTTGGTAATTTACTTAATCATGCATAACGGAAAATGAAATAAGGATCTTGCCACGTGTACATCAAGATTTATATAATGAATTACAGAAGTTCAAGTGACACTTTATCGTTTGTCAGTTTAAAATGTAATCAACTTTTTCATTTGATCTTTTCCTCCGCATCATATTATGTAATTCATTATGCATATTTGTTATGTACAAGTAGCAAAATTCATAAAATAATATTAATTCCTACTAAGGATCCATTTGTTAAATTTTGCAAATTTTTTTGCTTAACTTGAACGCGCACAATCACTATCTGCAATTCATAGTTGTCCAATTATCCAGCTTTCAATAGAAATTCATGCGGGGAATGATAACGAGACAATTATGGTTTCTTTTTTCTTGTGATAGCAAGATAACGAATTGCGTTTTGTATGATTTCTCGAAGTATATTACAAGGCTCCAGACTTTTCAAGACCACGGTGCAAAAATCAAGATGAAAGGTTTTTTTTATTCAAAATTCAAGTATTGATTTAACTATTAATATTAATATAAAATATCCAATTTCAAACCCAAAAATTCAAATTCATTTGACTCCATCTTCTCTCTTCACTCTCTCCACTTAACCAACACTTCCAGCGCCGTCGACTATTGTCGGAGACCACTATCGAACTCACATAAACAATCCTTCACCGGCTCTCCCTAATTTATTTTATCCCTTCTCCCTCCCCCTCTCCCCCACACATGAGTAGTCACAGTCGTCGGAGACCACATCGTCACAATGATAATCGTCTCCAAGCGTCGCTATGCAGCAGCATTTTGCTGTTAGCATCGTTGCACAATGGCGCTCACAATGTTGGTGTCGCTGCAGATATCGCGAAGAGCAACGATGAGTGCCATCACTCGAAGTAGATGTAGCGTACAATCGCCGTGGTACTGAACGTAGGTGGACATATCTGCGAGTTCGTAATTTGTTTGGTGTGGGTGGATATGGTTTTACAAATGAAGGTGTGACGGTGGAAGTAGTGATGATGCTAGTGGTGGCGCAAGTGGTAGTGGTTGCATGTTTTTGGTTGTTGGAGTGATGGTGGTCGTTTTGTTTGGTGGTGTTTTTGGTTGTTGTTGTTGGCGATGTTTGTAGTAGTGTTGCGATGGGGCGGGGTGGGATAGTGTTTGTGACCAACTATTTGGTTCTTTGTGGTAAACCATGAACTTAAAATTCGTTAATTTGACACTAAAAAATAATTTGTGACAAGTAAATTTGAAAATATGTGATTGATAGAAAATTTGTGACCTATAATTTTTTGATCTGTGCCCAATGAAATAAATTGTGTCTTATAAAATTTTTGATCTGTGACCTTCAAATAACATGTGACCTATATAATTTTTTATTTGTAAATTCAAAATAATCTATGATTAATTAATTTGATAATATATGACCAATAAATAAGTTGTGATCTTTAATTATGTATATGTGATTATTAGTTGTATAATTGTGACCTTATTATATTTAATTAATTAACTAATACCTGAGTTTTAAATTTTCAAACTATACACATGACTTGTGATTTAGCGCAAACTAAATCGCTGAGTTATGATGTTTTCCTTTCTTGAATCCTAATAGTTTATCAATGAAGATCAAGTGTGTTTAACCCAATACTTGAACTTAATCTGGTCTGATTTTTAATTAATTTAACTAATTAAACATGTTCATCAATTAATTCGGCTCATTAATTAGTTATCCAATTAACTAATTGTCTAACACTTTATCAATTAATTAATAAGTATATTTTATTCTTTTAGTTCTCATTTTGTGAGTGATTTCTTAAGTTATCGATCACGATACCTAACGGGATGAATTATTATTTTAACTTAATCAAAATAAGATAAATTATAACATCGTTTTAATTTATCATCAATTCATCTAAATTAATTAATCCACATTCGTTGTTTCAAATTGATATTTAACAATATGTCAGAGTAACACACAAAAGAAAAATATCACGTGGTATGACAAAATCAAATTTGTTCGTTTATCGTGAAATTATAATATCTTCTTCAATATGATCCGATCAATTACGATATATGTATTATGTCAATTTCGATCATTAATCATATATTTTATTCCAACTCTTTTCAGCCTATGCGTACACATTGACTTAACTGAATAAAATATAGTTCTTAGTCTCATACTATCTAAAAGTGACGATTTCTCTATTGATAATTCACAACTTTCGTATAATTTTTGACATATTCGAACGATACCGTATTAGCGATTTTTGACTAAGCAACATCTAACATTACTAAAGTATGAGGGTGTTTGGTGGGGATCAAAATTAAATTTTTTAGTAGTTTATAATAAATTTTTTGAAATGTACGGTTGAAAAGTTGTAGGACCCATAAAAGATGTGTTTAATTTTGATTGTTTGATTTTGACTTAAATTAAAATCAAATTTTAATCTGTATCAAACGGGCTCCGAATGTCCTTATATAAGGTACTATGACGACATCAAGTTGAAGAACCAATTTTACTACTGAACTTTAGATATTAATCATTCACACTTAGATAGTTATCTATATGAAATCTCTCAAACAGATTTCCAATGCTTTGTTCTTATAACAAAATATTCACGTGTTCATTTAAGTGTCATAAAACTTTAACTTGTGAGATCAATTATTTAATTCACAGCTAAGAAATGTCACAAGTAATGGTCTATCCGTAATAACAATATTCGTATCTCTTTAATACTTACGATCATGAATAATTTAAGATTCAATCACATGTAATTTGTATCTTACAATCACAACTGCTTGTTAGTAACAAATTATTCAAATTTGAATTTACGGACTCTATTATTAAATCTATTAGAATATTAATTAAATTAAATAATAAATTTGTCATAAATAAAATACATTAATTATATATTTAAAGTATTTATCTTCAAAATCGATTAGAGGCATAACACTTGCACCTTTCTCTAATGGGATTGAACATGATTGATCAAGGAGAAAATGCATACTATAATGAAATTGTGAAAGTCTCTTAACAGGCATTTACTTCGTGCTCTGGTCCTCTGGATTATGGCTATGTTCAGATTGTTCTAAACCTTTTTGTATCTTTTCGATATGACTGCTTTCCAATTGAGCACTCTACTAGTGCTAATCGCAAAACTAACAATAAATTTTCGTAAAAGGGCGCCCTAAATTTTTCCCAAATCTTTTTGAAATTTTTACCTTCCAATCCTACCCTTCACTCTCTCACACACACGCAGTAAAAATCATCATCATCAACCACCAACCTTGTTTTCAATTTCATATATTTTCCATTTCTTTTTTCGTAATACAATTAATCATCTGTAGAAAACTGAATCCGAGACGTATGCACTTACACTTTGTGGAATTGTAAATATGAATTCCACGGAATCGATGAAGCTGCTGTTGGCGGCGAGCGGCGGCGACACTGTCAAGCTCTTCGACATCTCATTGGAGCCACGGGACCCTTGTGTACTTTCCTACGTGCCGTCTCCGAGTTTCCGAGTGAACTCAGTCAAGTGGAACCACAACAGTAAGGACAATTCCTTTTCATGCTTGTGCATTAATTAAGATTTCTATTTTCTGTTTTTGAATTGACAATATGCTTTGTTTTTTTAACATTTGTGTAGATTTGGTGGTGGCCAGTGCCGGCGATGATAAGAAAATATCTTTGCGTAGGAAAAATGGACAGGGTTTGTGGACTGTCCCTGCCAAAACCGATAGTGGGGAAAGTATTGAGGTAAATTTTCTGTCAGAATTACAGTCAAGATTAGAATTTTTGGGAAGAGTGTGTTTTAATGCGTCCTTCTCGTCTTTGAATCAAGTTTAAGTTTCATCAATTGACTGGAGGAAGATGGTGGTAGTTATGGAGAACAGTTAAAATACTCATATCATGTGATATATACAAGTTATTGGATTTGCTTTATTTGGGTGTGGGTGTGCCAAGAAGTTCCGGGGAAAAGTTAGAGATCTGTGTGTTTCAGAGGAAATAAACATAATAGACATGATCTCATATTTTCTTGAGTTTTGATAGCAAGAGTTGATCTTAAAGATATTTTGTGCCAACATTACATTAATGAAGCAAAATACTCATATCATGTGATATATACAAGTTATTGGATTTGCTTTATTTGGGTGTGGGTGTGCCAAGAAGTTCCGGGGAAAAGTGTAGAGATCTGTGTGTTTCAGAGGAAATAAACATAATAGACATGATCTCATATTTTCTTGAGTTTTGATAGCAAGAGTTGATCTTAAAGATATTTTGTGCCAACATTACATTAATGAAGCCCTATATTTGAGTAAAAGTAGAAGATATTACACTGCAATTTGAAGCCTTAACTGATTAATTGTATCCCTGTGCCCATTTGCTCAAGTTGTTTGATTGATATATTTGACCCAAAATTTGGTTTTGCACATTTCAACTAACTGTTTTTCTTGAAAAAAATCTGTTTGATCTTTTCTCCCAACATATAAGCCACAGGAGTCTATATCAACAATCAGCTTTAGCAACAAAGGATCCCGATATCTTTGTTCTGGTGGAACTGGTCAAATTGTAAGAATATGGGATTTGCAGAAGAAACGCTGTGTCAAATGGTTGAGAGGTCATACTGATACAATAGCAGGTGCACTATACAACTGCAAAGATGAGCACATAGCTTCCATTAGTCGTAAAGGGGATCTTATTCTTCACAACCTCGCTTCTGGTACAAAGGCTGCTGAACTCAAGGATCCTAATGGACAGGTTGTATATGCTGTTGGCTGCGAAGCTTCATATAACACATTTAATTTTGATTATTTGTCATGTGCTTTGCTTTTTGATATGCTATATCTTTATTTGATAATTTCAAGACCAGATTTTGGGGGTGCTCGATTATTCTCGAATGAGCAGGCACCTTTTGGTTACTGCTGGGGATGACGGATCCATCCACTTGTGGGATACAACTGGTCGTAGCCCAAAGGTTCACAGTATAACATTGTAATGTATTTGATGAGTATTGTTATATATAATGATTTACTTTGTTACATCATTCTTGTGTGGCTAATCTATTATTGCAAATACAGGAAGTAGGGCTTTTCTATGGTCTATTACTATTATGTTAAACTCCTAAAGTAATGTGTTAAATTGGTTATCCATTTATAGCAAAATCTGCTGATTTGTATTAATTTTTTTTCTTTTGTCTTCTGTTCTCCACAAAATAATGGGATGTTTTGGACTTTTTAAGACACTGTCTGATGACACAAACCTATTCACTTTAAGAAAACCTTTTGTCAAGCCCATCCCGTACTTAATATTAAGAAGTTTCCATTTTTTTAATAAACAAGGTCAAGATTTCTGGGATTCATGTTCAGAATCAACTGATTGTTATATGTTAATTAAATCCTGTTAATTTCATATTAAAGTACACACAATTAACTGTACATCCTAGATTGTTGTGATTGCCCCTATTGAATTCTGAGTGCTTGTTGTTCTTGGGTTTAAAATTTTTTTTTTCCCTTGAAATTCATAGGTCTCTTGGCTGAAGCAGCATTCTGCACCAACTTCTGGCATTAGTTTTTCACCATTAAATGATAAGGTCTCCTTATTATCATAAGAGCTTGAATTTTTTATTCTCTTTAGGGCCATTAATATTGGTAGAAATGGAGCTCTTTTCTGAAGTTTGCATGCCAACTAGCAATTGCTTGTTCTCATTTTACTCCTGTGATCTGACAGATTATTGCTAGTGTTGGTCTGGATATGAAGTTGTACACTTTTGACTCAGGATCTAAGAAACCGTCTTCTTGCATTCCTTATGAGGCACCTTTTTCTTCCCTGGCATTCACAGATGATGGACTAACCCTGGCGGCTGGTACGACAACTGGTCAGATTGTATTCTATGATGTTCGTGGGAAGCCACAACCAATCACTGTTCTTCGTGCTTACGGGAATTCTGAGGTCATTATTTGTCTCATTATTTCTAGTTGAACTTCCAGCTTGGGAAATTTTTTTCTAATAGGTGGTGGCATGTTTTGCAAGTGGTTACAAAAGTATTTTGTTATTATAAGGTTGTTGGTGTACATTTTCATGCCTTCACAGTTGTCGGAAGTCTGACTGTTTGGTTTTCTACTACCTAAAATGTGTCCTTATTGGTAGTTCAGATGTTGGAATAGTGTATTAAAGTCAGCTCCCCTAGTTCATGATTATTAGTAATATGAATGTTTATTATTTATCTGGTCCTAGGGCCAATTTTTTTCCAATCCAGTTTCATGAACCAAGAAGGTATTAGCCGTTATCCAAGACTCATCTTTGCTCTTATATATCTAAGTAAAAAATGTCTCCTTCGCAATTTCCTGCCTACCATATTAGTCTATAGTTGTTTCTCCGGGTGTGATCAGTGGCTAAGGGCTCATTGGCATGGGTTTGAAAAGCCAGGAGCTGCTTTTGGACGTGTTTGGATAATTTTCTAAAAGTGTGTTGTCTAACTAGAAGAGCGTGTTTAGAAGAAAATGGCCCAAGGTGGCTTTATTGGGAAGTTGTTCTTCAAAAAGTATATGTTATTCCAAACAAGTCCCAAGTGTCACTATAAAACCTGTTAGTTATCTGTGTGAGCGACCCTGAAAGCTTATTCTACTAGGTAATAGCACAAGGTTAATGGCTTAATGCTTTAAAATGTCTGCAGCTATTTATGTTCTGTCTATTAGGTCAGTTTCAAAAGTTGAAATCATGGGTTTAAAATTTCGTAAGAGAGAGAAATCGTAGTGTCGAAAAATGAACTCTTCCTTCCTTTATATCTATTGTAAATATAACTGCCTTACAAGACTTTTGATCAACTTCATCATACTTACGTAATATGATGTGATCTTAACCAGGCTGTCTCAAGTCTTTGCTGGCAGAGATCAAAACCGGTAACTGTAACTGTAAATGAAAGAAGCTGCACAGATGAAACTGTGCTCCTGGCAGGTGATGTAGGAGACTCGTTTTTGATGCCTGACCCACTTCCTTCTATGACATCCTTGAGCCTTTCAACGTCCACATCAGTGTTCGGATCTCGAAATCCTATTAATTCAGGTTCTTCTGCAGATTTATTTTCTTCTTCTGCAGATTTATTTTCTTTTCCAGCATGTATTTTTTTCGCCAATTAAGCACTCTCAACTTGTCTACTGCAGAAGAAACGTCTGTTAGAAGCAGCTCCTTGACAGGTGGAACTCTGGCTAGATTACATGCATCTCGCAGTTATAACTTCAAGGATGATATGGAGGTGTTTTCTCCACTTGTGGAAGTTCAACCAATTACACCCTCCCTTGATAAATTGTGGGGTGATCGTGAGGGTCCAAAGAAAGACCTGGATAAGAAACCATCTTTTCTGTATCCTTCGTCTAGGAGGTTTGCTCTTTCAGAGGAGGTGGCCAATGATAGCCATCCAATTTTTGACTGGAAATCCAATTCAACATCCAAACAGGTGTTTTTTTTTTTTTTTTTTAAAAATGTCTGTATCAGTGTTTTTCCTTTTCTTTTTTTATCTATTCATTGGTGAGGGATAAGTTATGTTGGTTGCGTGATCTAGATTTAGTTAGAAATGTGGATATGATGGGTTCATTCAAGTATAAGAGCATTTCCAAGAAATTCTATTTTTCAAAGAGCATATTCTACAATTTAGATAGTAACATTTTTTATGTATTCCGATAGGGTCTTTATATTTAAAACTTAATTTTACTACTTTCAAAAAATATTTATTATTTTTTCCTATCTTATATATTCACTACCTTCTCTCCAAATTATTATATTATTTTTTTATTGAAAATTGAAATACTTTGAATGCATTTAATTATAAACAATGGGTGTGACTCTTCAAATATGAAGAGCCAACCCCACTCTCTAAATTAAAATCTTAATTTAAAGAGTCTTATGGAGCATAATTTTAAGAGTTGATTCTTTAAAATAGAGAGTATCTTATATTTAAAGAATCTTTTAGAGATGCTCTAATACTTTGAAATTGTCCAGTGGTGCTATGCATACATGCATATAGGATGTTAAAATTCAGTAACGGTATTGAATCCACGAAGTGACTTTTTTTGTACCACCAATTATTTTGGAGGAATTAACTGGATGATGGCCGTTGCTTTATGTTATTTATAATTTAGATTAAACACTGGTACATATGAGATTATATACTCTGATTCCATTCCTTTGTATCTTTGCCACCTATGGGGACTAATCTTAAAATGTTTCTTTTGGGGGCTTTTCTTTGGTCTGGAATCATTCAACCAAATATTATGTCTAAAGTTTACATTTTTATTTTTTAGTTTAATGATTAACCTTTCTCTCATTTTATGACAAGGCATTACTAATACTCCCTCAATGGAAGAGTTTGTTTTTAGAAGTCTCAACTTTTTAATGGAACATGCTAGTATCATGTCTCGCACTTTGTCTAGCATCCCTTTACTGCAATAACTTTTGGCTGAAGTAAATGAGTTGTTTAGTTATATACAAACTTAAATTTGTTTAGTGATAGCATAGAAAAATTGGTTGTCCCGGATTGGAAAGTTTAGCAGTAATAATATAATTGAAGACTAATAAATTTGATATTTATGTAACACTTGGAAACTTAATGATGCATCAAAGTTTGCCATATTGTCTTGCGAAATTTGAAAAGTAAATTTGGTTTGTAAGTTGCACTCAAAATCTTAAGTTCGCTTTTGTAGGTCTCGTAAAATATTTTCAAGTGGGAAAAAGTATGTACTAAATGCTGCCTTTTGTTATATTTTGCATCTTTTTGGACCAGTTATTGTCGTGCCTCCATGAGCCAGAAATTGCATGGGACAAAAGATGGTATTCTTTATGTCTTGCAGTTATAATACATTAATTCAGAATTAATTTTCCCCCACAATGCTGAACAACGTAACTTAACAAATCCATATCCGATGCATGATATTTGTGTTTAAGTTACTTCACCGCCTGTCAGCAATTAGATAGATCATTCAATAAATGAGACTAATTGAAATCCCCTTTTCTTCGGTATTGCTGGATTTGCACATGGACTGTTCAAATATTTATATTCTGACATGTATATTACTCGTAAATAATTTGATAAGTTGAGATACTAAAGGTGTGGCTGGGTCCTTTATAATATGCATTAGTCATGAAATAAACTAATTCACATTTTTAACGTTACATTTTGCTTGGTGGCTTTCTAGAACTTCTCTCTACATATTTTGATAGTCGGCTTATGCAGGATGACATGCATTCTACTTTGTCACAATTGACATCCACCTCTGCCTCCACCTATGGTGATGACTCCTCCATAACACCACCAGAATCTTGGGGTGGCGAGAGATTTTCAGACAAATTAATTCACCTTCGTCAGTCAGTCAACGCGCCTTCTCGCTTCTCAATGTTGACATCCAGTAGTTTATCGTCAGGATCCATGTTGTCTGGGTCACAAGATGTTAATCTTCCAACAAGTCAGAGCACGAGCAGTCTAACATCAAATATGGGCCTGGCCAAATTGCGTGTCAGGGAAACCTCCCATCAAGAAACTCTATTAGCAACTTCAGAACATCTTTCCCCTTCTCTAGGTACGAAAGGCTTTACAGGAAAGGGTAATGCTGATTCTCTCAGTCCTGCCTTTTCTCTTCATAGAAGATTTTCCAGTTATGCCGAGAGAATAGGTGCTACACCATCCTTCAGCGATGCAGCAGTAGGGTCTCCAAAAACTAAGAAAACTGGAGCAGAAACAAGGGAAGAACTTCTTAACAGCCTATTATCGCGGTCTGGCATGTCATCTGCCACCGAAGCTGGGGTTGTTCCAACTATAAATGTACGAAAAAATCCAATCTTGTGTTAAATATACCGGTGGTCACTATTAGTAAAATTTCATATTTATAACTAAATTTCGTTTCATTTTAAGTTGATCCCTGAACTTAAGCTACCGTTTGACCCCCATTAATTTTCATTCCATTACATTTTATTTTTCTCTCTCCTATTTTCAACCATACAATCTTCCATAAAATAATATTACATGTAAACCGAAATTTTTTCCTTCCTTTTAAACCATTCATTTTTCAAAAAAACTCTATTCTACCCATTTTCATTTCCACAAAATGGGAGCCAAACAGGGACTAAAGTTCGCTGTATTTTGTGATTCCGTCTATATTTGTTGACTTGAATGGAAAATTTGTCATGGGAGTCTAGTTATTTGCCAACTAGGTTGCCATCCTCTTTTTTCGTTTGTCAAGCTGACGGACTTGGACGGAATGATCAAATTATTACAATCTTTGAAGTTCACACCAAATGTGACAAGGTTTAAGTCCAATGACCAACCTGAAATAAATGCTCCAAGTTGAGGGATTTGAACCCATCCAACACTGTATTCTTGCTGCTACTATTTTAGCTAGAGAAATTATCTTTGATGATCCATCATTAATGTTTTCGCTGTCATTGGTGAAGATATTTTTTATGATGAATCATTATAAAGGCCCAAGTGCTTTGAATTCACATTGAATCCCCTGTAATCTTGTGGCAGGGCGAAATCCCACAACTTCAGGAAACTTCTTTGCAGCCCGATTTGCAGCAGGGAACTTCATTTACACTTCAGCTTTTTCAGCACACACTTGAAGAGACTCTTGCTTCATTTCAGAAATCCAATCATGAAGACATTCGAAATCTTCACATAGAAATTTTAAGACAATTCCATATGCAGGAGGTGTATATCTGATATTTTTCTAGTTTAGTTCGTTTTATGATTTTTCCCTAATATGTGAAAGTAACTTGCAGATGGAGATGTCAAGTGTCATGAGATTGATCTTAAAAAACCAGGCTGAGATTATGAAGGAAATTCAATCACTTAGAAACGAAACACAGCAGCTGCGTCAATTACTGTAAATGTAGCTGGGGACCCTGTCTCAAAGGTTTCATCTTTTATGTTTTAGCTGCTATATTATGTTCGAGTCATTTGCTAGTTGTTTTAGAAAAGAATGGAACTCTAAGCTCATTTACAGGGTGACACTAATTTGATGGAAGTTAAATTATTAATTTTGTGCCATGTGATTGGTTTGAGGTTGCATTCACCAAGAGAAAGATTTGTGGGAGGGCTCTGTTTTGAATATATGCATACTGTTCTGTCTTTGAACAAACCGAACCATATTTTAGCATTACTATGTACAGGTTATCTGATTTATTCCGTTGGTCTTTTTGTCCTCAAATTATTAGTGTTTTATGCAAAGCTGTGGCGAGTCACCATATCTGTAGTATCTTCTGTTCATATCTAGTCGTCACATTTTACTTGTCATTGTTTTAACAATATAGTTGAACTGGTTGTGTTATTTGCTATGGGACCATGATTTGTTACTCTATGCAACGGCGTTTGGACTCATCACATTTGACCTGATACATTGTGTTAATAATATAGTTGAACGGGAGTTGACGTAGTTGCTATGCGTACATAATTTGTTACTCTATTGCTACGTTACCGTGATTTATCACGAGATTCATAATTGAAGAATTGGAATGAATGAGAGCTTGTGCAAGATTAGTAGTTGAAAGTTACCGTAATGGCTTATTTGTATCTGGAAGTGAAGTTTGGTGTATATATGCAAATTAAGTTTGGTATTCTAGATTCAGAAGAGCACCTGTTCTTAATTTGCAATATTTTGATCCCTATTGGTTGATTTTGTTTTAAAAATCTGTTAAGCAATCATGAGCAATATTTGATAACTTACAGTTATTAAATAAAAATTACAAATTGAGCTTTGTTTTGTTGATAAGGAGGTAATATTTGTCGATTTGTTTCAGAACATTAAATCTTTAATGATCATTGACATGGTGTTGGTCTACCCTTATCTTATTAGAATAAAGCTCCATGCATAGTGAGTGTATTGACTGAGGCAACGTTGTCACCCATATTTTGTACGTGTAGCCACTTTCATTTTATTGAGACATGCTTGGTGTGGACAGACACGTCTATTGTTGGAGGATATATTTATTAAGTAGGAGGATGATGTTGAGGATTTCGATTGTGATAGGATTCCATTTCCTCATGAATTTCATGCTTACTTCTTTGCCGAACAAATGAAGACAATTACTGGTCGTTCAAGATTTTAATTAATATGTCGTGTTTTTATTGATATTTCTGCCAACCCTCGTAAAGCTATGCCTATGAAGCTCAGTTTACACACACACACACACACACACACACGTGTGTGTGTGTGTGTGTAAACTGAGCAGAGAAGCTTTGCTTGGGAGGAGAGCCTTTCTGTCCACTTCGAGTGCATGTCAATTAATATTTCGCATGGACGCAGATTTCGATCTTGAAATTCGATAACCAAATGCAAGCAATACAAATTGTGTCAATACGTAAATTTTCTTTTACAAGTTGTCAAAAATAACCCCTTCTGAAGATAACATCATAGTTAATTGTCAGTTGTGGGGGAACCATAATGCATGCTAACCTACTTCTTGATCAATCTCAAAACATTACCTACTAGATGCAGTGAACCTGTCATTAGGACCTGGTATGGCTTTCAGAAAAGGGGAGAGAACATATTGTTAAAATGGAATTTAATCTCAAGTTCTGATTTAATTAAAGTTACAAAACTTGAGATGCAAGCAATAGAGTAGTAATGGCCAGTAATCCTCAAAGAAATTAAGGCCAATGAGTGTAAAAGCTGCCAGATATAACAAAAGTAGATTCTTAACGCTTCATTTATTGCGTTCATCACACTGTTTTCCAAGATCTTCGTTTCATTAGCTGAGAACACTAGATAAAAACATTTTGTTTATGCACCCAAAAGGGCAAGAATAATGCTCCTTGTACACTTCATGTTGTACATGGAGTTTGACATTACTTGCAAATTCAAAAATGTATGGACAGGAAAGTGTTTTTCATTTTAAAACTAGCCATTCATTGTGCGACAAGTCTATGCCCCTGTTTACTATCCCATTTATTTTATGTCTTTAATTGGTGAAAATTATTACATTTTTAAATTTGTTAAGAACAACATAGGTTCCTTTTAGAAAATGATGATGATTCATTTATTTTTGTGTAATAAAAAATTTAAATTTGAAATGGACTTTAAAATGGATCAGGATCATGTTCTCCATTCCCACTTCAGGGCAACGACCCTCATCCCGTCCTTCCCTTGCGTACCTCGTTTAGGCAGGAAATTCATTCCTATTTGGAGCCAGCTCCACAAGTATTGGATTTAGCTAGATCTTTTGCCATCCCTAGGTTGAAGGATTTTAATAGGATGGAATGATGAAGATTTTTTCATGATATTAAGGTGATCTATTAAATTCTTCCAGTCTTAATCATTAAATATGTAAAATATATGAACAAATTTCAAAGGAAGTCTGGGTGGTGTAGTTGGTCATCACGCTAGTCTCACACACTAGAGGTCCCCGGTTCGAACCCGGGCTCAGACATACTTTAATTTCTTTTATGTCTTCTCTCTCTCTCTCTCTCTTCCCCTTCTTTTGTTTTGGTTGCTTGTCAAATTGGAAACAGAGGCAAATAAAGAAGCTTTCCAGCAACAAACTTTTTATAGGTTGGCAGTCGAGAAAGATGATCATAAACTGTTGCAAAATACGACACTTTAATTAGAAAAAAAAATAGTAAAAAAAAATATTTAGCTTTAATTTAAGTTGTGTATTTAAATTTTCTGGGAGACCGTGACTTATCACGTAAAAATCATTATTGAAGATGGAAAATGTGGTGCAACGAGATACATCTATACTCACATCATCTTATTTGATTTATATTCAACGATAAATATAAATCAAGAATTGTAAAAGTATATAGTCTCGACAGACCCAATTTGAAGTTGTTCGTACTATGCCTAGAGAATTCTAATTGTGCGATTCTAAATTATGTGTTGCTTTACATAGCCCATTTACATTTCCAAGTTGTTATGTCCTCTACTACTATCAAATTCGACAAACTTGGTTTATATAATTTTCTTGTACTAGTGACTTTTTATATATTATTATTTGGACAAACTCGTTGGATATCGATTAGCATTATAATGTTCTTTTGTCCCTTTATTTTCTTACGTTACATGTAGAATTGTTCATTTGCATATTTTCTCTCTTCAAAACTAGTGTTTTGCGCGGGTTAGTCGCTAACATTTAAAAAAGGATCAGACGATTGTGTAAGGAACAAACCTCTTGAGACAAAGTTCCAAAAAGGGGTGTTCTTTTATTGGCGATGACTTTACAATTGGAAATTGAAAACAAAGTGCCTCCAAGGGGCGCAAGCACACGAGTTACTGAAAAAAGTGTTTAAGTCTAAGCTAAGGAAATTAAAATTACACGTTCTCTGTTCGAGAGTTTTTGATTCGGTCCTTTGCTCTATATCTTTTCTCCCTTTTATACTTCATGGACGATCTCTTTGTGATCAACCGCCTAAAAACTGCTTGATCGTCCTATAACTGCTCACTTTCCTCATAATGGCCAACTTGTCATGAAAACTGTCTTTTTTAACTGCTGTCATTACTCTTCGTCGTTCAACCGCTTTCGATTGAATTCCTTGAATCGTGGAACGTGATAGGGCTGCTTTAATAACTGCTTTGATAACTGCACTTCTTGATAACCACAACGCTTTATGTTTGTTAAGATCTTGGGCGACTTGAAGGTTTGGGCGAGAATAGAGTAACAGCTCTGGGTGACTGTATGACACTCCATTCGCTCAGATTCTGGGCGACTTGCAAACTTGGGTGATGGCGTTACCGCGTTCTTGGGCCTCCCTATTTGGGCCTTCATCTTGATTTGTTTGATTGAGTTTCGTTCTTTGGGCTATCTGATTTGGGGATCCTCCAATTGGGCTTCACTCCTTGGGCCGTTCGATTTGGGCTGAATTTTTATGTGTCAACAATTACCTCCCAATATGGCAGAATTAATAATATTTATTAAATTTTGCCATATTCACGTTGTGTTTCCAGCAACATTCGAAATTTTCAAGAATTTCAATCATTGTTTTCTTCTATAACTTGAAAAGGTGCATCGTTTTGCAAATCCTTATAACCCCCAAACACGCCATTTCACTACGCCATTAAATCACGCCTCAAATTTTTGCGTCTCTCTCACGATTTACTGTTCATCTTTTGCTTCCCTGCTACGTAATCCTGAAAAAACTTCGTTCCTTCTCAAATGGCTACTTTACAATCTCAAGCTGGCGACTCCTTTAGTTTTGATGACTTTCAGAAACTTCTGAGTCGCCCATACATAACTCCGAGTTTTCTCGCGCCCGCCGATGTCGAACGTAATGAGTTCTACTTGGGTCCTTTCTTCAACAATGCAGAGGCAGTTGAACAGGCGGCGGTGAGTCAGCTGTTTCCTTGCACTCAAGGCCCTCCATTTCTAAACTCTCTACCGCTGGGGCCACTTCGCGAAAGAGGTATTCGCACTTGGCCTAAATCTGATGTAGCTTTTCGTAGGTGGCATGCTCGCCTTGTGGGTCATGGTCCTACTAAGACACTTTTTGATAGCGCTATGATTTCTGCTTTGTTAGAAATCTCTATTCGCCCCCTACTTTTGATTCAGCACTCTTTTCGATTGTTTTGAATTTTTGGTCTTCCGAGTATAATACCTTTATTTTCCCTCTTGGACCCATGTCTATTACCTTAAGGGATGTTGGGGCCCTGGTGAATCTACCACCTTTGGGCGATACCATTTTTTCTGGTATCTTGATTTCTGGTGGCGGCCCAAAATTTGGTAAAAACTACACCGAATCTTATTCAAGTCTGCAAACCCTTCACAATCATTCGAGCGCTGAGCCTTCCCATACTGAGCGAGTGGCCTTCCTTCTAGTTTGACTTTGTAAATATGTTTTGTGTGTGCCAAGCATAAAGCCCTCCCTAAGTTATTTACCTATAGTGCACGAATTGGTGCGTGGCAGGCCCTTGAATTTATGTTCTTTCTTTTTGGCTGCCCTTTATAGAGGCATGACCTCTCTTCAAACTCAATTGAAGAATGGTGCATCTCTCATTGGCAGTGGACCTCTTTGGTTCACTCAACTGTGGTTGAGATCCTATTTTCCATTGCTTGGTATTTCATCAATTTTTCGCTCCTCTGCTAGCTGTTATGGGCTAGCCATGGAGCCTTTGGCTCTTGTAAATATGTCCAGAAGGGACATTTTTTCATTCTTTTATTCTTTGGATTCAATCTCTTCCTTTTTTCCTTTTC